TTATATTATATTATATTATATTATATTATATTATATTATATTATATTATATTTATTATATATTTGGGTGTTTTGCCTCCTTGTATGTCTGTGTGAGGGCGTCAGATCTCCTGGAACTGGAGTTACAGACAATTGTGAGCTGCTGTATGGGTGCTGGTAGTTGAACCCGAGTCCTTTGGAAGAACAGCCAGCTCTTCCCCACTGAGCCACTTCTTCAGCCCCTTTACGCCTCGTTTCTGTTTCCCGCTGTATGCTTAGCAGCAGCCAGATGCCATGTGCACAATAGTCACATGCTCAGCAAATTGGTCAGGAGGGAAAGACCAAAGGACTCCGTAAAAACAGGGTGTGCGGGGCTGGAGGTGGCTCGGCGCTTAAGGCCATGTGGCTGCTGATACAGAAGCTCTGAGCTCAGTTCCTGATCCCACATGGGCTGGCTCCCAACATTCTGTGGCTCCAAATCCAGGGGGCCCAACACCTTTGGCACCTACCCTCATGTGCACGTGACCCCCCCCCTTCTCTTAATTTAAAGGAGTGAGCTCTTTCACTCTGCAGGCCCAGCAGCAGCCGTTGCATCTGCTGGCTCTCCAGTCCACGTAGAGGTGCAAGTTGGAATGTTGGTGCAGCTCGGTGACAGGACACTGGCCTGCTCTGTCCAGGCCCTGGGTCCTGACCCTGGCACCACCGAAAACAGGAAAAGGGCCCCCAGAGGCGTGAGGTAGAGTTAGGACTCTCCCTGAAGCTGTGTGTCTCCCTCCAAAGGTATGCCCTGGTCGTGAAGGCCCCATCTTCTTTGGTGATGAACAGCACGGCTTTGTGTTCAGCCACACTTTCTTCATCAAAGACAGCCTGGCCCGAGGCTTCCAGCGCTGGTACAGCATCATCGCCATCATGATGGATCGAATCTACCTCATCAACTCCTGGCCCTTCCTACTGGGCAAGATCCGTGGCATCATCAGTGAACTCCAGGGCAAGGCCCTCAAGGTGATGCTTGGAGCAGGGAGGAGGGTGGGTCTGGATGTCGAGTGTCCAGTGGGCCTCTTGGCTCGGCCTCTGCGACGGCGCCGGACTGGTAGCCACGGCCTCAGTCGTGATGGGGACCAGTGTTCCTCCTAGCCAGCCTGAGGCTCTCCTGATTTCACCGTACCCATGACTCTGGAGCTCCTTCAGCCTGTTGTCTTAACTACTGTTCAGCCTCTGGCTTCCTGCCTGGTATCTTCACTTCCTGTACCCTCCAGGACCCAAACTGTCTGCTAGTTCTGTCTAGAACTCCCCATCCACCCGGCCCAGCTAGGGCTGCAAAAGAGCGTGCTGATGGGCGTGGGCATGCTTTGATCACAGACCCTTAGCGCCCATGGCCTGCTTCTTGTCCATGCTCTGTCCCCGGGCAGTAGAGGAAGAGGCTGTTCACCGTTCATCTCGGCAGGTGGAACAGCTCGGGGCCCAGGTGTGCAGTGAGGGTGTGTCCCTCACCCGCAAGGGTCTGTAGAATGCCTGTCGGGGCGGCCAAGAGTACAGGAACAGTGGTGGATACCCAGAGGGAGTCCAAGGAGCCAAGTAGGCTAGGAGAGGAGTGCACGATCGCCCTCGGTGAGCCGAACCATTCTGCCAGGCATTGTCAGGCTGCTGGTGTGGACTGTGCTCTGCGTCAGGAGAGCAGAGTGGGGAGACTCTGGGAAGACGGGGTGGCGGTAACTGAAAGGTGAGGCGGCAGCCGCCACTGACGAGGCCCCCTGCCCTGCCCTTTGCATTCAGGTGTTTGAGGCAGAGCAGTTTGGGTGTCCGCAGCGTGCGCAGAGGATGAACACCGCCTTCACCCCCTTCCTGCACCAGAGGAACGGCAACGCCGCCCGCTCTCTGACCTCCCTGACCAGTGATGACAACTTGTGGGCTTGCCTGCACACCTCCTTTGCCTGGTAAGGCATCGTGGGTGTTGGCACCTGTGAGCCGTTACAGCATCCCAGAGTCACCCATCTGCCTCCTTGTGGGGCTGGCTGGCGTGGGCCTGTGTGTCAGCTGTGACTCGGAGGCCTGTTCTCTTGTCTGTCTCCCCCGCTGGCCAGAAACACTTCCAGGTAGAACTCGCTTTGCACTGACACAGAGGACATTTCTGTACGAAGACCACCAAGTCTTCTCTCTAAAGATGGCAGCAGGTTTCTGGCTCAGGCCTCTCCTGAGCTGGTAGCCAGTGCTTTCGGCTCAGGTCTGGGAGGTTTTGCTGGTGAGTCGAGGTCAGCTGGTGTGTGGAGCGAAGCTCTGATGTATGGGTGTACCGTGAACAGGGAGCTCCTGTTCCCCAAACTGGGAAGTCTAGGGAAATGGAACCTTCAGAGCCTAGGCTGGGCCTAGGCTGAACCTGTTGCTTGGCCGTCGTGAAGGTAGCAATATTTAGGGATCTCTGGTGTGTGTGGCAGTTTAGAGCCCTTCAGGGAGTGCCCGGGAGGGTATAATGGGGATGGTTTTGGAGGGATCGCCCCTGATTTCCAAGGTGGCTGCACCGGTTAACATGCCCACCAATGGTGCATAAGGTTTCTGGTTTCTTCATCTGTTCCAGCATTTGTTGTCTTTGGTCTTCTTTTTTGTTGTTGTTTTGTTGTTATATTTATTTTATGTGTATGAGTATTTTGTCTACCTGTATGTGTGTGTACTGTGTGTGTTCCTGGTGCCTGTGGAGGTTAAAAAGAAAGAAAGGAAAGGAGGAAGAGTTGGGTCCCAGGGAACTACAGTTCCAGATGGTTGGGAGCCACTTTGTGGGTGCTGGGAACTGAACCTGTGTCTCCTGTGAGGGCAACAAATGCTGAGCTATCTCCTTAGCCCCATCCTTGGTTTTCTTGGTGATAATCATGCCACCTGATGTGAAACGGAATTTCAAGGTAGTTTAATTTTGTATTTCTCTGATAGTTAAGGACACCAATTACTTTTTCACATTCTCACTGGGCGTTTGTAATTTCTTCCTTTGAGAATTGTCTGGAATGTTTTAGGTTGTGCTTTCCCACCTATTACGTAGCCATAAGGACCCCACTCAGCAGAACGAAGGCGTTGTCTGACGTTCTCCCGATGTTCAGTGTCCCCTTGTGTCTCAAAGGTGGCTTCTGAATTGGGATTAAACTTGACAGGTCCTTCAAACTCCCCTACCCTAGTTTTCTCATTCCCTTTAATGGATGGTCAAGCCTGTGGCCTACAGAATATTTCCCCAGTGGTGGGGACTGGAAGCTTCCTCAAATAGGCTTCCGTAGGCCATTTTCTGTGAGCTGGGAGTTGAACCAAGGGCTTTATAGGCCTCAGAATGAGTTTTCCCACTGTCAGGGATACCTCATGGCCGGCATTGTATTCATCTGCAGGCTCCTGAAGGCATGTGGTAGCCGACTGACCGAAAAGCTCTTGGAGGGCGCACCCACGGAGGACACCCTGGTCCAGATGGAGAAGCTTGCTGGTAAGGCTGTTTACCTCCGCTAGGCCATCTGTGGTGGCAGCAATGCTCCTGGCTGTGGCTGCCCCAGTGAGTGGAGCTGGTGCAAGGGCGTCTGGTTGTGAATGAGCTGATGGGCCTTTGTGACAACTAACCCCATGCTCTTGGTGATTTTGTTATGATTCTGTCTCATGGCCCTTGATGGTGCCTTGGTGGTCTATTCGCAAGTGGGTTGGCTCTCCCTGGGGCTCCCTGCGGGACTTGCAGGTGGCTCGACAGGTTGGGGCATCTCCTGCGGGCATCTCCACTGGGCTGTCTCCAGGCAGCTCTGCCTGCCAGAGTTTCCTGTAGATAGCTCAGCTGGTCTCCTCTTCAGCAATTGTTTTTGCTTCTAAAGCCTTGGAGAGAAGCCTTGTGAATCTTGTTAGTTTCAGGAACTTCCTGAGACTTGTTATGTTATGAGCCTCCCTTCTCCTCCTTAGAGGCAATGTTTCAGTTCAAAGAAAATCACTGTACATCATCCGTACACCCATGATTAGAATCTCTACACCTTGGGTTTAGAATCCCGTGCAGCTGACTTTTAGGGCGGTCCTAACACAGGATTACAGCCCTAAGTTCTCACTCGGCTTCCATCGAGATTGTTCTGAGTTCTGGAGTCCATAGCCCTGTCCCATTCTCCCTCTCCACGGCTGAGAGGTGGAGAAGCAGTGGGCACCCACGGTACATGGTCCACAGTTCATTACTAGCTTTGCAACCCACTCCACTGTGAGTAGTTAGAGCGCTCTCCGGGTCATCACTAAGCAAGCGCGCACTCTGCGCATGTTTGTACGCTGACAGCTACTCAGGAGTGAGGTCTCCAGAGCGAGACTCACTCAAAGGTGTGTCAACTCGACCTTGGAGTTGCTTTCCTGTCGGTCAGCCACAGGATGTTTTAGTATAGCATGCTCACTAGATAAAGGTTCTGCAGGATGTGTTTGCTGGGAGAAGAGTGAGAGGTGGGGGTGGACAGGGGCCTCAGCCATATTTAAACTGAATTGTGTCATGATGGATCTGAGTGTGGGCTCAGGTGTGCTTTCGAGTTGGGGAGATCTGGCTTCAAATCCTGGCTCTGTACCTAGGGCCCCCCCTGTCCTCACTGCGACATGCAGCAGAGCTGTCATTGTGAGGCTCCGCCATGAGGACTAACGGAAGTAAAGCATCAGTGTCTTGTCTGGTTTGGGGGTGGGGGTGGAACAGAGCACAGAGCACAAGCCTGGCCCCGGCAGAGCAGTGGTAAACGCGTGCTGTCTGCATTTCGCTGCTAAGCTTCCCGGCAGTGGAGAAGGGCCAGCATCTTCCAGGAGGAGCTTCTGAGATGTCTCTTCTGCCGGAGCCTTCCTCCCTCTGCCCACAGATGCCCAGTCGATAGCACATAGTCCCCGGGCCTCTCTGGTATACCGCAGGAACTGGTAGTCGTGGGTGCCAGAAGCAGAGATGGTCACATCCATGGGGAGGCGCGCTCCACATCCGCCCTGTTTGTCTGTCCTGTAGACTTAGAGGAAGAGTCTGAAAGTTGGGACAATTCTGAGGCTGAAGAGGAGGAGAAAGCCTCTGTGATGGCCGACGGTGCTGAAGGGCAAGAGCGGACCGGTTGCCCCACAGAACCGTCTTTTCTGTCAGCCTGTGGGAGCTGGCAGCCCCCCAAGCTTTCCGTCTTCAAGTCCCTCCGACACATGAGACAGGTAAACGAGGGGATGCAGTCCTATGTGAGGCGAGCCCAGGCCACTGTGCAGTAAACCTTTCCTCGGGGCCTGGCCTCTTCCACATCCACGGGCAGGGGTGACACGAGGAATTTCTCAGTGGGTGTATGGCTGAGGAGCAGCAGTCATCTAGTGACGGCACAGGCATCCGGTGATGTGTTTGTGTGCGCTCACTCACGTGTGCGTGTTCGTGTGTGCACTTACGTGTAGAGGCCAGAGCGCTCGGTGCTGTTGACTGTGTATTTTGAGACAGTGGCCCTAACTGGCCTGGGGCTTGTCAAGTATGCTGGTTGGCTGGCTCATTTACCCCAGGAATCTGCCTCCCAAGCCTTCCCAGCTATAGGATAACAAGCAGATAAACATGCTTTACCTGCATATTTATATAATATATATCATTATATATTGTACACATATGTTTTTTTAACATTTTAATAGCAAACTTACAAGAACAGCACAGAAGACAGACAACATGAAAAACGTGTTCTTGCATGTAGGCAACTCAGAAAAGTATAGTGAATGGATGGAATCTACTGTATGATAAAAATGCTACAAACACTATTTAATTGCAGTCAGGGAGAGATTTACTTATAAAAAAACAAATGCTGGCATTGGTCAGAAAATTTTAACACATTTATTTATAATTATTATAAAGTTGAATGTGTTCACTGGAACATTTTGCTGGCATTAATGTTTTAGATCTTGCATTTATATTAAAAATTCACACCCAAATGAAACTGGAAAAACTGCCAATACCTGATTTCTGCCCCCTATTTTTCCACTCACAATCATATACTTAGGTACCTTTTGACCCCATGAAAAAATATCTAACATTCAGAACTACTGATAATAGGAAAAAGAGGAAAAAATTTCTTTGAGAATGAAATTTTTCCCCTCGTTGTGGACTCTTTTTCATGTATAATTTATTTAATTTTATTTTCTGGGCATTACTGTGAAGGTATCAGATCTCTTAGAATTGGCATTACAGACAATTGTGAGCCCACAAATGTGGGTGCTGGGAATTGAACCCAGGTCCATTTGGAAGGGCAGACAGTGCTCTTAACCACTGAGCCACATCTCCAGCCCTCTCATGATGGACTCTTAAGTTTGTCCTCCTTGTATGCGGTGTGCTAGCTGGATATCATTTGGCATAATTGCTACATATTTAGCATGAATCGCACACAGGTTGGTGTCTTCAAAAATGCCAGCCAGATAGGCCTCGCTCGCCTCTGCAAAGCACCAATACCTGCACTCTGGAAGCGCAGATGTGTTTTGAGAGATTCCTTGCACCAGGCACGGGAAGGGGAGCCTCTGAGTGAGAACTTCTGTGGACTTCTGATAGCATCTATTTCACGGAGTGCCACAGCACCTGACCTCCAATAGAGGGAGCACTCTTACGGGTGTTTTTTGTAACTAGTTGATAGGTGCTTTACCACCAGTGGATTTTCGGGCTGTCGGCTTTGTGCCAGCCACAGTATGTTCACCTTACTTACCCCTGTCTCCTTTGGCTGGAGCTCGGCAAGTGAAACACAGTGCTGGTGTTAGGCTGCAAATACTTTGCCTGTTTGTTTGTTTTTGTTTTGTTTTTTTTTTTTTGGGGGGGGGAGGATTGGTTTTTCAAGACGGTTTCTCTGTGTCACAGTCCATGCTGCCCTGGACTCGCTTTGTAGACCAGGCTGGCCTGGAACTCACAGAGATCCACCTGCCTCTGCCTCCCAAGTACTTGGATTAAAGGTATGCACCACGATGGCCAGCTGTTTTGTTGTTGTTGCTTGGTGTTTTTTAAATATATTTTTAAAAATTTTATGTGCACTGGTGTTTTGGCCTACATTCATGTCTATATGAAGGTGTCGGATCCCCTGAAACTGGAGTTACAGACAGTTGTGAGCTGCCATGGGGGTGCTGGGAGTTGAACCCAGATCCTCTGGAAAAGTAGCCAGTGATCTTAACTGAGCCATCTCTCCAGCTCCCTGCCTGCTTTGTTTGTTTGTTTGTTTGTTGAGGCAGGGTTTCTTTGTGTAGCCCTGGCTGTCCTAGACTTGCTTTGTAGACTGGCCTGGCCTCAAACTCACAGAGAACACACTGCCGCTGCCTCCCTGAGTGCTGGGATTACAGGCATGTGCCACCAAGCCTGGCTGCCTGCTATTTCTTTTTTTTTTTAATGAGTGCAAGCTCCAGTCCTTACACTTAACACTGAAGCTAGGCTCTCTGTCCAGCCCAGCGTCTATATCTGTAAGGTCTCTGGTGGTCCTCTAACCTTGTCAGTCTAGAACCGCCTGAAGAGGCTGAGAGCACTATTATCTGTTTGTATGCAGGCTAAGCAATGGTCATCCCTACAGTAAATCGGGCAGAACCTACCAGGCAGCCTGCTTGTTTCAGTGTCTCTCGACAGCGGACTATTACTTAGCCTGAGAAAGCCAGCAGACAACATGAAGTGGGAGGTACATACACACGCCAGAGACGAAAACAGTCTGATGAGAATGAGCATGGTTTGTAGGGTCAGACGAGAGGTCAGGCTTGCTCCAGGTGAAGGCACATTGATTGCCCCCTCTCCCTACTGTTGTCTGTCTGTGAGACAGGGTCTTCTGTATCCTAGGCTGGCTTTGAACTCACTACGTAGCTTACCAAGTGCTTGGATTATAGGCCTGTGCAAGCACGCCAGGTTTGCTTTTCATACTATATTTCTCTTTATTTTTAATGAGGAATTTTTACATCCTATTTACCGCTATTATTGTGTGAACATGTGGAGGTCAGAGGCCAGTGTTGGGGCGTCTCTCCTTGTTTGATGCGGGTTCTGTCTGGACACTGACCTCACGCTGCCAGGATTACATGGCCAGTGCCTCTCAATCTGCTGAGCCATCTCCCTTTTCAGTGAGTAGTGGTTTGACCAGCCAAGAATTATTGCCATTCTGGGAAGTGGGGAGGCTTGTGAGATGACCCCTGGGTAAAGGTCCTGCTGACAACGCTGAAGACCCAAGGTCGATCCCCGGGCAAATGGATTGAGCCCTGGGGTTTCTGCCTGGGAGAGATTTGTTCCCCAGCCCCAAGCTGCATTGGCTCTGCTCACCATGGCAGGAGCTGTGGTTCCCACCGCAGGCGGCAGGGCTTGGCAGCGCTGAGTTTTGTAAGACGCCACATCAGAGCCTATGTTTTTGTCAGTGTTGTTTCAGAGTCCTGTGTGGCCTCAAGAAACAAGCTATCTTCCATCAAGGTTGCAGGAGTGACTGGCAGACAGGGAGGAGAGGGGCTGTTTGGATTAAAGAACAAAGATAGCACAGACAGAAAGCAGGCCCGGCCCTGGCCTCAGTCGCTGAAGAACTGTCCTATTAAGAAGGCCATTGTGCAGCCGGCTTGGGTGAGGGCCAGGACGTGGGTGCACCCAGCTGGTGGAGGCAGAGGCCTCATTCTGCCTGGTGCAGCTGTGATGAGCCAGATGTCCAGACACTCCAGCAAGACAACCTGTCTAGAGAGGGGGACAGCTGTCAGAGTTAAACACCATTTGCTTCTTTACTGATTTTTGTCTGTTTGTTTTTGAGACTGTTTCTCAGTGTAACCCTGGCTGTCCTAGAACTCTCTCTCTCTCTCAATCTCTCTCTCTCTCTCTCTGGTGCATGCCTTTTTTTCCCCCAACACTTGGGATGCAGAGGCAGGCAGATCTCTTGAGTTTGAGGCCAGTCTCATCTACAAAACAAGTCTGAGGCTACACAGAGAAGTCTTGAAAAACCAAACCAAACAAACAAAAAAGAATGTAATACCTTTGACCTTTGGGATCTGGTGACTTCTCTGGTCCCCTGTCAGCCTTGGGCAGAGAACCAGAATACCCAGGAAGCAAAGTAACTTTGCCTTTGCTGACTGTGATGGTCTTTATTGTAAGCGATGGTAGCCTCTGAGCACTTGGGGCCTGACTGGCTCCTATAATTTGCCTAAAGAACCGTGTGCTGTGTCTCAGGTCTTGGGTGCCCCATCTTTCCGCATGTTGGCCTGGCATGTCCTCATGGGAAACCAGGTGATCTGGAAAAGCAGAGACGTGAACCTCGTCCACTCAGCATTTGAAGTCCTCCGGGTGAGAGCCTTTCCCTGTGTGCCAGTATATCCGGGTAACCAGTGCAGAGGCACAGAAATCAGTTTTCTTTGCCTGGTGAAGATGGAGGGCATTGGCACGCCCATGGAAGGCATCTGTCTAGTCACTGTTGGCAGCTACGCTGTCTCCCCTTCCTCAGTCTGAAGTTCTTCTGAGCAATTCTCTGGGAAAGTATCACACTTGCTCATGCTGCCTGGCCGTTCTTAAGCTGGGCAGTGGCGCAGGAGCAGCTCACAGCATGTCTGCCAGCCACCAGGGCCCACAAGTGCCTCTCTGTGCAGTCAACCAAACTGGATAAGGCAGCAGATGTCAGGACCGCCTGACTGACAGCCAGGACCAGAGTTGGGAGCATCCTGGTGGGAGACTGCCTGTGGGCTGAGAGACCAGGGCACGCTAAGGATGGGGACTGTGGAGCAGCTGCAGAACATGCTTTGGGGTGGATTCCGAGCTTCCTTGTCTCTACAGACCATGCTGCCCGTCGGCTGTGTCCGAATCATCCCGTATAGCAGCCAGTATGAGGAAGCCTACCGCTGCAACTTCCTAGGGCTCAGCCCTGCCGTGCCTATCCCTGCCCACGTGCTGGCCTCAGGTTCGTACCCTCTCTGAGACACGTGCAGCCTGCTGCTCTGAAAGGCGCCTGTGTCCGGCCCAGGGGTACTCCTGGATCCACGTCACAGATTTTAGGGCAAGGCAGTCCCCGATGGACGGGTGGGGGCGTGCTGAGCCCCTGGCCTCGTTTGCATTGGTGCTAGTCTGTGCAGAGCTGTTGGTGTGGAGTGTCTGTACGCTAGCTGTGTCTGTGTGGCCAGTGAGCCCTCAAGGCGGTTTCCCTACAGCTCTGGTTCTCAACCCTCCTAACTCTGCGGCCCTTTAATAGAGCTCCTCACAGTGATCCCCCACAACCATGAAATTATTTTCATTGCTACTTCATAACTGTAATTTTGCTACTGTTATGAATTATAATAAAAATATGTTTTTCAGTGATCTTTTTGTTTTGTTTTGTTTGTTTGAGACAGGGTGTCTCTGTGTCACCTTGGCTATCCTGGACTCTGCAGACCAGGCTGGCCTCTAACTCACAACATCCTCCCGCCTCTGTCTTTCTGAGCGCTGGGATTGAAGGCGTGTGCCACCACACCCAGCTGTACTCCGGGTGGTCTTGGGCAACCTCCGTGAAAGGACTGTTCTGCCCCAAGGAGGTCTCGCCCCACAGGTTGAGAACCACTGAGCTGTAGGCTAGAGTAATGGTGGAACCACTGGAGGACGTGGAAGGAATTAACATGTGTGATTTCTGATTTAGCTGAGCGAGCGTTAACTCAACGAGAGTTAAACTGCAGACAGCACCTTCGTTCCCAGGAGGCCTGGCCCTGACTGTGTGTGCCTGGGGGTGGGGACACTCGCAGTGGGGTCTAGGGACACCTCACATGACAGTGCATGTTTCCTCGCTGCAGAGTTTGTGGTTGTGGTGGAGGTGCACGCTGCCACGCGCTCAGGCCTCCACTCGTCCGGGTGCGAGGATGACCAGTCCCTCAGCAAGTACGAGTTCATGGTGAGCAGCGGGAGCCCAGTGGCTTCGGACAGAGGTGGGTACTGCGGCCGGCAGCCCGGTTCATCAGGGCAAGGGGCGGTCGCCCCGGCCTCTTCCCTCACCCGTGTTTACCTCCCCAGTTGGGCCCACCATCCTGAATAAGATCGAAGCGGCTCTGACCAACCAGAACCTGTCTGTGGATGTGGTGGAACAGTGCCTCATCTGTCTCAAGGAGGAGTGGATGAAGTAAGCCCCAGCTTCGTGAGCGCGCGTGCGTGTGTGTGTGTGTGTGTGTGTGTGTGTGTGTGTGTGTGTGTGTCAGTGGTGAGGGGGTTGGGGGACAGCTCTCTATGGCAGTGGGCTCCCACACCGGGTGGAGGGTACACACCTTTAATCCCAGAACTCAGGAGGCAGCGGCAGGTGGATCTCTGAGTTCGAGGCCAGCCTAAGTCTACAGAGAGAATTCCAGGACAGCCAGGGCTACACAGAGAAACCCTGTATGGAAAAAAAAAAAAAAACAAAAAACAAGTGAGCAAACTAGAGAGGTCAGGCTGTGGCCCATAGGAGCCTGTGAGTGTGGAGTTAAGAGTGGTGTTCAGAGTTCAGACGCCAGCCTGCCACCCAGGAGCTTGGTGACCCAGGAAGTGGTCCGGTCTCCCCTGCCCGTGTCCCAGGAGGTGGGAGCAGCTGCTGAGGTTTGATGCTGGGCGCATGTCTGAAGCCAAAGCGCTGGTTTCTTTATTCCTTAATTCCCTTTTGGTTTTGGAGGGGTGGAGGGTGCTGGGTGGCTGAGCTGGGCATGCTCAGTAGGGTGCACCGGGCAGCCGCCCTTCCGGCTTGATAAAAGCACACTGCTTGTTTCCTGGAGCCTTAGTAGTATCTTTATCAAATAACTGAACTAGTTGAACATTTTTCTGGTTTCAGATAATGCAGTGAAACCCAAGAGCAGTATTTCTTCACAAATTTCTCTCTCTTCTGAGAGGAGTTTTTCTTCCTGTCTTAGGCAAGTTGGCCTTGAATTCCCTGGGTTCAAGGCATCCCCCTGCTTCAGTATCCTGGGTAGCGGGGACTGCAGTACACTATTCTCTTGGGGAGGCCCTAAGCATGGCGTGCCGCATGCGCCCTTCCTCTGTGTGGAGGGGCCTGCAGCTCTCACTGGTGGGAAGTCTCCCTGGCTCCATGAGTCAAGCTTGGCTACTGGGCCTTGGGTCTGAGTGTTGGTTTTTGTTTTCTGCAGCAAAGTGAAAGTCCTGTTTAAGTTCACCAAGGTGGACAGTCGCCCCAAGGAGGACACACAGAAGCTCCTGAGCGTCCTAGGTGCGTCAGAGGAGGACAATGTCAAGCTGCTGAAATTCTGGATGACGGGCCTGAGCAAAACCTACAAGTCACACCTCATGTCGACAGTCCGCAGCCCCACGGCCTCAGAGTCAAGGAACTGACCCAGAGAACCCCGGCTCCGTGGGAGACTGCCTTTCGGTTTCTGACTGCTGGAGTAAAGCCCCATGTGAGGAGTGAAGACTTCTGGGCCTCCTTTGAAGCTCTGTCATCCCATAGCTTTTGAAACATAGGGGACAAAGGGACAGTGGTCCCTCTGCGTCATACTGCCCTGTCGGGAACTGGCAGATGTGCTCTCTGTCTCTCAAGGACAAAGGCTGGGAACTGATAGGAGTCAGAGCAGCCTGCCTGGGAGATCTTACCGCTGCAGTGTGTCCTCAGGGCGTTAGGACAAACCTTCCCACAAACCTTCCCACCATAAGAGACCACAAACATCCTGGATCGTTTGTCTTTGGGTTCAGGAACTCTCAGGTCACCTGCATACCATGGCCTCTGGTCAGCTCTTCCGCTTATGGCTACATCAAAACCATGGCTGCATTTTTTTTTTTTTTTAACTTTTAGTTTCTGAGTCAGGGTCTTATTCTGTCTCCTAGCCTGGTTTAGAACTCACAGTGTGGCCTATGCCAGTTCCAGACTTGTAGCAATCCTCCTGCCTCAGCTTCCCAAGTGCTGGGATTACAGAACTGAGCCATCGTAACTCTACATTGCTTTCTTCTTCCCCTGCTGCTGGTGCAGCATTAACCAGTGACTGTAGATTACGACAGATCGGTCCCCACCATTGTGGTTTTAATAAGGACGCGGCTTGGAGGGATTTCCCGAAAGCTTTCCCAGTTTGTTTTTATATTTTTGGTGTTTTTGTTTATATCTAACATGAAGACTTAAGCTTATGTGTCTTGGTCTCTGTACAGTTGCAAAAACAATGAAACACAATAAATCTGTATTTTTGTAATCTGCCGACTACGTGTTTTTAAGTTTGATGCTATCAGCCAACTCAGTCCTGTCACGGAGATGCAGCCATGTGCACTGTGTCCCGGTGTGGCAGAGGAAGCTTCGCAGGCCCAAATGGATTCAGGCACTGGACAGTCGAAGATTGCACGCTTGTGTTGTTATGTGGGCCCTGGTGGGCTGGGCTGAGCATGACAATCCTGGAATCCCCCACTTGGGAGCTGAGGCTAGAGAGTTGCTCCAAGGCTGAGGTGAGTTTTAAACCAGGCTACGCTACAGACGTTTGTCTAGCGTAGAGGAGGGTGAAGAGCCCTGCTGTGAAAGTACAGTCTGGGAACAGGGAGCTGCCCCAGCTAGCCAGTGGGAAGCCATGCTGGCCTGGGTAGTCCTGGTTAGATGGAGGAAGGTGATGACTGTCTCTTCAGAGCTTTGGATATGAGGCCTTCTTGTCTCCCAGTGTATGACATTCTCAGAATCACTGTCCTATGTTCAAACAAAGCTGGTTGTTTTCTGGTTCAGCTGCTGAGCCTCTTAGTGAGTAGGAACTAACCTGAAGCAGCTCTGCATTCGTTTCACAGGAAGGAATGTACCTGTGTTCCCATCAGAGTAAAACTTGCTGCACCATTAGGGACAAAGGACAAGATGCTGAGTGTGGACCAGCCCCTTGGAAAGATACTTCCAAAGAATGGTTCCAAAGATACTGTGGTGGTGCCTGCGTGCGTGCCTGTGCACCAGAAGAGGGCACCAGATCTCAGATCTCACTATAGATGCTTATGAGCCATCTTGTGGTTGACTGGGAATTGAACTCAGGACATTTGGGGGAAAAGCCAGTGTTCTTAACCCCTGAGCTATCTCTCCAGCCCCCAATGTGGTAGCTAGTTTTATGTCAACTTGACACAAGCTAGAGTTATCGGAGAGGAGGGAGCCTCAGTTGAGAAGATTCGGCTGTACACAAGGCTGTAGGGCATTTTCTTAGTGATTAATATGGGAAGGCCTAGTCCATTGTGGGTGGGGCCAGTGGTCCTGGGTTTTACAAAGAAGCGGGCTGAGCAAGGCTTGGGGAGCTAGCCAGTAAGCAGTTGTCCTCCACAGCCTTGTTTCGGCCCTTGCCCTGTTTAAGTTCCTGTCCTGACCTCCCATGATGAGCAGTAATGTGGAAGGGTAAGCCAAATAAACCTTCCCCCCACCCCACCCCAGGTTGCTCTGGTCATGATGTTTTATCATAGCAATAGTAACCCTGACGAGGGCAGGGATTGGTGCCAGGAGAGGGGGTCTCGCTCTGACAGACCTGACACTGTGTTTTGAGGAGGATTCTGGCAGGACTTTGGAACTTTGGTCCAGAAAAGACACTGCATGTTCCAAACTTGGCGAGCTGCTCTGTGGGAGCTTGGAAGATGAGAACATTGAGAGCGGTGCCGGTGACGGGCCTGGCTTGGGAGGTTTCAGAGGGAAGTTTGAGAGTCCCTCAGTGGTTTCATCAGGGCTGCTTGCTGTTTTGAATCTGTGGTTCTGGCTAGCTGGGGCTAGGGGATCAGCTGTGATAAACAAGATACCAGAACGGCTAAAGTGATACCAGTGTTTTTCAGGGACAGTTGATGTTGGTCAGCTGGAGCTGAGGAATGAGTGGTAAGAAGAGACCAGCATCAATGAGGTGAAATCTTGTGGGAAGTGTTTCCTCAGAGTTAGCACACCCAGAGGCCACCAAGGTTCCAGCTCGTGCTGGTAGTGGAACTCAGGAGTGTGATCGAGTCACCCAGTGGTGCCGGTTTTGAAGGCAGGAAGGGGTTGTGGAGAACAACCGAGGCTGGGCACTGTGTGGCAAGATTGGAGTCCCTAAAGCGAGCTCAGGAGAGGCTACGGGTCAAAGTGCAACCCAGTTGCAGCAGGAGCCCCCAGCATTTTAGAGGTGCCAGTACCGCGTAATGACAGACAAGGACAGTAGCAGGCTGTAGTGCTGGTCTAGGAAACAAGCTGTATGTGCTGCAGGGGCAGAGCCAGGGAAATGACCCAGTGCTTTGGACGAGCCCACGTGGTCATGAGTGAATTCCAGATATTGGACGTGGAGTTGGCCTTTGGTTTAGCTTCTTTCAGATTGTGGCTATGCCCCATTTTTTCCTCTTGGAGTAAGAAAGTATTTCACTTTTGATTTTTACGGGGGCCCACAGTTGAGAGATTTTTAACTTTTAAAAGAGGTTTTTCTTTTTTGTTTGTTTGTTTTCGAGACAGGGTTTCTTTGTGTAGTCTTGGCTATTCTGGAGCTCACGCTGTAGACCAGGCTGGCCTTGAACTCACAGAGCTCTACCTGCCTCTGTCTCCTGAGTGCTGGTATCATAGGCGTGCGCCACCAGGCCTGGCTTTTAAAGGTATTTTAACATATAATTTTATTTATTTTGCTGTTCATTGGTGTTTTGCCTGTATGTGTACCTGTGTGAGGGTGTCAGACCCCAGGAACTGGAGTTACAGACAATTACGAGCTGCCGTGTGAGTGCTGGGAATTGAGCCTGGTTCTCTGAGCACAGCTTGTACCCCTGAGCCATCTCTCCAGCCCTGAGATTGGATATTGAACTTTTTTGTTTTTTCGGAAGAGCAGCCAGTTCTCTATCTGCTGAGCCATCTCACCAGCTCCAAACTGCAGGCTGTTATTTTAAGACAGGATGTTAAGAAGAGGTAAGACAGGATGTTTTAAGGGAAAAGCCTACTAAGACAGGATGTTTGTACAGGGAGGTGAGATAATGAGTGGAGAAGGTCCATCCTGCAGGGGAGCTCTTTAAGCATTAAACAATTGGGTAGCTTCAGGTAGTTCCTAGGACTGGCCAGATTCCCTCCGCCCCTGCCTCCCACAGAGCTGTGCCATCAGGGCTGCTGAGACACTCTCGGACAAGCTGAGCCATCTGTAGGCTGTGCAGTGAGCTCCAGCTTCCAGCTTTTGTGAGCTGCCTTCCATGCTGGGTGCGCTTTGGTGACGCAGCTGTCTTTGAGTCATTTCTGCTCCCATAATCCCTCACCTCGCCCATACTCCTATACGCAACCGCAGTGAAACTCACTGGTCCACCTTGGGTGGTGTGCACTGGATGGCCTTAGATGGTATCCGTACTTTGTCCTGTTGTCAGTTCCCTCTTTGGGGTGAGCAAATGTTTGCTTATATACCCCCAAGAACAGTGTCTTCAACAGTGTCAGCCTAGCAGTGTTTAGGACAGCTGTTCTTAACCAAAAGGTCGTGACCCCTCTGGCAAACCTCTGTTACATTGCGATCCATAACAAAAGCAAAATTATGGCTGCGGGTCACTACACCGTGAGGCACGGTATGAAGGGGCCGTAGCGTCGGGGAGGTTGAGAAGCACTAGTTAGGCGGACCTGAGGCCTTACAAGCTTCCTAGTGGGCGGCCTTGAGGTTACTGATATCACGGCCTTCCTGACCATTAGGTCAGTTTGCTCAGCCGCCTGCTGCCACCATAATGTAGTCCCTTGACACAGGCCTGGTTAATATGTTCATGGACTGGAACCTCCAAAACTATGGGCAAAGTAAGGCTGTGAGTTGATGGTCCCAGGTGTTTGTTACAGTGGCAGCTGCCTTGATAGGGACTCTAGCAAGCCCCAGCATGGGGCTGCCAGGCCTTGCCCTTCCCCCTTCCCCCTCCCTTGCTAAAATCCTTTAGGTTACATTTAAAACAATATTTTTAGTATTTTATTTTCTTATTTTTAACTATGTGTACATTGGTGTGTGCACAGGGGCGTAAGCACCCATAGAGGTCAGAGACCTCACATCTCTTAAGAGCAGCAGCTCCAGGCCTTTGCGAGCCTCCTGACGTGAGTGCTAGGAATGGAACTCTGGTCCTTTGCAAATCAGTCAGAGCTCTTAACCACTGAGCCAACTCTCCTAGGTGCTGGCATGATGTTCTTATGGAGTGCATACAATTTACTCTTGTCCATTCAAATGCTGATTTCTCTACCCCACTATCTGGTTTCAATCCCGACATTGCATTGTGGTGCTTAGTCTAAGCATCACCTGTGTCAAGTTTGCGTGAACACGCCACCATTTGTTCTCTGTAATTGTCAATTAAACAACCAGCCAGTGCTGTGCAATGGAGAGAATAGGGTGGGACATCCTGGTCCAGAGGGGAGGAGAAGGAAGCGAGGGGGAGTAGGAGGAGAGAGAGATCGGCTAGAGGGGACTTGGAACCATGAGGAGAGGTGAACTGGATGTGACTAGAGGCAGGTGTGGTGGGTGAATTCTGGGTGGGGGAGGCCGTGCGGGCTTGGAGGTTTGGGATGGAGCGATCACTGCCCAGCATTGTGCTCTAGGTTAATTGGGTAAATCCTGGTCTCTGTGTGGTGATTTGGTGTACAATTGGTTTAGGAATAACCACTGTTTAACTAAAAGCTAAATCAATAGTAAATATGAATCACCCACAACACCTGAGTTACATTTCTAAGGCTACCCCGAGGTCTATGCACCCATGTGGCCATTTCTCCCCGAGGCTACCGAGGTCCGGATAGCAGAGTATTGAAGTCCGGCAATCAAAAGCCTCCTTTGGCTCACCTAATTAACATGTCCAATCAAAATTAAAGACCTCACCCTGACCCAGGCGGAGGGGGAGAGAGTTGGAGGGGTGGTGTTCCCCTTTGCTATTACGTGCTGCCATTTGCGCGGAGTCAGGCCCCCTCTCACGGGGTGGACTGTGCATGCAGTCCGAGTGCGGTTGTTTTCCCACAGTGTCTGTTCCACGATTTTACCAGCGTATCTGGCAGGCAGGTCTCCCTTGTTAGAGGGCAGGGTTTGTAGTTAGGTTCGTGGTTTCTTCTCTGGTAATGGGAAGAGGACCTTCCAGGACCGTGAGCACTACTCAGTAGGGGTGACACGTCTAGCTGGGCGCGACCTTTGTGTTCCATGAGGCACGTATTGTCTTCAGCAATACATACATAGACTTCCCGGCTAGCCTTGCCAATAGCCTGGGATGTTTGAAGTTTTCCGTGGGGCCCCTACGGCTAACAACTCAACTAGAT